TATTTTATAGGCAATAGGAACAGTAAGAGGTTAAGGAGAAAAAAAAAACGATTTATTGCAATACTCATTTTGTTTTACTTAAAAGCCAAGAAAAGTACACTAGTTCCTAGTGTATTGTATAAAAAATTAACATGGAAATCTCACAGCTGTTGGTAGCCCATGTACAAACTGGGGAACACATAAAATCCTACACTTTGAAAATAAACATACATGTGAAGTTAATAAAGATAAATTGGCCATTTCAAATAAACATTTTTGTAATTAAGTAAACATAAATAAACCATCTTAATTATCTCTTTGCTGAAAAAATGCGAGGCTGTAGTCTGTAACGCGGATCGAGTGCTTTTTATAAAATGACAAAAGCCTACATGTCCCATCACCAAAGATGGCTGCAAATCTTTAGCAATAAACACCCGCACTGTCTTTGTTATTTTTATATGTCTCTCGGAACCAGTTGGGTATGTTTTCTGGAAAGATTCAGCGAGGAATTGTTGCTATTTGGAGGACTTTCTTCCCTTCTCTGCTATCCTGCCTTCAGACAGTGATATTGCTGGGTGATGGCTCTGCAGATGTGCAGTCATGGTTATACGTATAAAACAATGCTTGCACACAGTTTTTTTGTGTTCACCATTTTTTCTTTTATTGGATTAGATTTACCGGCAAAACCGAATTGTCCTCATACCGCAGATTTGAAAGACGCCGGCGCTTTCTTGTACTATTGCCCTTACTTTGCCGACGTTTCCATGTACTGTTGCCTCAGGCTCACTTCACCGCCGCTCGCAATGTTAAAGTGTGGAATGATGGTCAAGCGCCCTTAACTTTAGAGCATAGTGATTGGATAATTACTCGAGGGGAGGAGTTTCCTCATCTCAGCTCATGGATTTAGAGGCACGCACAGTCAATTCGGGGAAATATGAAACGCAAATAAATTATTTAAACGCAAAACCGAGAAAACTGCAATTCACAAGAGCATTTTAAGAACCGTGGCATCCCTAATATATATATATATATATATATATATATATATATATATATATATATATATATATATACACATACACATACAGTAGGGCTAATAATTTTGAAAAAAACCTTTTAGTGAGTGTTTGCCTAATGGTAACAGGAGAAGAATAGGAATAGAATCTAATATATCAAGAAAATATAGAAAGAGCATAGAACAAAAAAATAATGTAAATGTCCATAAAGGATAATCATGGTATGACTGATTCACTGAATTCTTCCCATGAATGCTTTTGGTATGGTTTATCATGACGATTATTAAAATTTATGCATCTGAACAGCTGATTAAATAGTGTAAATTTGAAAGTGCATCAAAAACCAACAGTTTTCCACAGTGAGTTCTTCCAGAAAAAAGCCCAGACCATCTGACACTGAAGGGCTCTCCCAAACCTGCATTTTGCCAACACAGCCGGAAACACTCTGCTGTGTCAGCAGCCGTGGATGTCTGTGTGTGTGTGTGTGTGTGTGTGTGTGTGTGTGTGTGTGTGTGTGTGTGTGTGTGTGTGTGTGTGATGAAGGAAAATCAGATCCCTCTGCTATGTATTATGAGGAAAACTGTAATTGTCATTGCATCATCACCAGGAAAGCTTCTTTGCAGAGTCATGATAATGAGGGCAAATTTAGTTTTGCAATAACGTTATTGTGGCACCTGGAGGATTTCCATAAGACCTTGGCTGTAATCTGCATGCTTCATATCAAGCTCATTCTTCTCTGTTTTTTCTGTAAACATGCTCAATTTAAGGGCAGATGAAGCGTCTTGTTTGATCTGAAGAGTTTTGTTTTTGTTTCAGGAAAACAATATACACTGCTTTTTAGTATATCCTGTTGAAATGAGTGGCAAGTACACCGTGCTGTTGAATGAACTTTTACTACAAATGCACAAACATTTTAAAGAAATAGTTCATCTAAATATGACTTTTTGTCATCATTGACACTCCTTTGTTATTAAAAGAATAGGAGCTTTGTAGGCAAAAGAGAAATTGTTGAATATCTGCCTTTTTCTGCCTTATGATATCATTTACATCGATAACCAACTTGTGAGTGGGTGAAACATTAACTTTGAATTCAGTCTGTTCCTGACAAAGCTATTATCATGTCTTCAGAAGATTTGGTGTACAATACATATCTTTGTGGTGATTAAATTAGTACTATTGTCATCCTTTTTGGAAAATACTGCATTATTTCACTTTACTGTATATTGTGTGTGTTCTAAATGTAAATTCACTAATTTAGAGATTAGAGTTATGTTGGTATTACCTGAGTAGCTGTAACCCAGAGACATGTTTATCAGGTTTGGAAAAAGTTGATTATTTCCAGCATTAACTATTTGAAAACAAGTTGTGTGATACCGTTTTTTACAATGGCTATGACAGTTTTTCAATACATTTAACAAGGTTCCCGAACTCTTAATGCACCAACACACCTAAAACACACAAATGGAAAAATAGTTAATTTCATGCTCAAAATCACACATTGTAAACTAAACCCCAAAACTAATTTTCAAAATACCATAATAAACTAACACATTACACCATGTCTAACAAAACACTACAAACATGTTTTAAATCAAATCGTTATTCGAAACACTAACACTTGTTCTCTTCCAACAGAAACACATTGACAATAGAACACTATCATCAGCTGACATTACAGAAACTGCATTATTTAATGTGTCAGCTCTGCCCTTATATTTAAAGCCCCTCTGCATTTTTTTTTTTTTTTTTTTTGGGGGGGGATTAGTAAATGCATGCATTCTGTTTCTTTTGCTACAGAAAGTCCTATCAGCCATATCAGAGTAGCTTTTTTTTAAGTAAAAAAAATACTGACACAGAATTGCTGCAGTACAGCCTTTATTTGCAAAAGGACATCACTTCCAGATATACAAAAAAAACGCAATTATAATAAAAACAAAGTAATTTTCTGCATTTGGCCACATGTTCTCATCCACATCACACCTGATACCTTCTCTGGCAAGGCATGGGAGGACTTCTCTTGTTGTTCCTTTTCCACACAAGATCAGCCCAGTCTAAAAGAGAGCTCTTTTGAACATGATCATGTGATGTTTGGTCTTGGTTGAGCTTGTGTGTAAAAGAAGTTCAAGCATTTGAAATTAGTGTTAACTGTATGCATTTTGTATCAAAGCAACAAGAAATGTGGTAATTGTATAGCCTACAAAGACGGATGTTTTGCTAACTGTGTTAATATTTTAGGAAACATGTTAAATGTATTTAAAAAAATGTCATAGCCATTGAAAAAACTGTAATAAACTCAATCATTAAAAATGCTACAAGTAAGGTCGACTATGATAAACTCACAGTTATTATATTTTAATAATCACAGTCAAAGATTATATTTAACAATGCTATTAAATGGTTAGTTTTTAAATTCTAAATGAGTATTTGATCATAGCCAAGGTAAGAAAAACAGGTTATAAAAAAATATCATGCAGAATTAGGTAATAGTAATTGAAAACATCTTCATTGGCAGATAACTAAGTGAAGATTTTTTATAAACTAGTTTCGAGAAGATTACATGCTTTTGATTCTCCAATCAGATGATTCCTAAGTCACTATAAATAACCAAAATCTTCAGCACACTCTTCTTCATCTTGAAGAATCCTCCTATTCCTCCTTTTTCTTCCTAGATTGTGCGGCACCATGGCTCAGTGGTTAGTACTGTTGCCTCACAGCAAGAACTTCACTGGTTCTAATCCTTACTATGTCAGTCAACGTTTCTGTGCAGAAATTACATGTTCTCCCCATGCTTACTTTGGTTTCCTTCGGGTCCCCCGGTTTCCTCCCACCATCCAAAGACCTGTGTCATAAATAAATGGATTGAACCATAGTCAAGTTGGCACCATAGTCAAATTCTTAGCCAACAGTATCCTTTCCCTCATAAAGCAACTAGACATTAGCCACAAATAAGCGGGGGAGTTCTAGTAATCTACCTGAACTCAATATCCCCTCTCACCCTACAAATGGGAGGGAGCCCAGGGCTTGAGGATCTTCTGAGCTCGGCTTTCTCCCAGGACAGCATGCCAAAGCTTATAATCAATCATCAGCTAAGTGTGAACTCTTGAATTTGGCAAGCCTTATCTTATGGACAAGGCTCAATTCTGCCAGCAATGCTTTTTTTTTGCTTTATATTCTACCATTGGGGGCTATTTCTCAGAAACTGTTTCAGATTTATATGCATATGAAAGAGTTGAACCTGAACTTACAGAATGGATGGCTGCAGTCTGTTTTAAGCTGAAACAAAAAACAGAACAGAAGCAATTGTGAGCTGGACATAGATAGACAAACAAGTAATTGCCGTACTGAGGACTTTTTACATTTGCTAGCTAAGGCTAAGCCATTTTTATCCAACTAAGACCCCCAGAAAGCTATCCCCATTGTCTTTTCCCAGATGGGCTAATATAAAACAACATCTTAATATAAAGTTAGTTATTGTGCTATATAAATAATTGAACAAACATGTCACGCATCCCTCAAATATAATAGTATTTAGATTACGTGGTCCATTATAGAGGCACTGTTATCAAAATTTCGTGGCTCAGTGGTTAGCACTGGCATCTCACAGCATGAAGGTCACTGGTTCGAGTCCCGACTGGGCCAGTTGGCATTTCTGTTTGGAGTTTGCATGTTCTCCTCAAGTTCGCATGGGTTTCCTCCAGGTGCACAGTCCAAAGACATGCACTATAGGTGAATTAAATAAACTAAATTGGACGTAGTGTATGAGTGTGTGTGAATGAGGGTGTATGGGTGTTTCCCAGTAATGGATTAAAGCTGGAGGGGCATCCACTGCATAAAACATATGCCAGAGTAGTTGGCAGTTCACTCCACTGTTGTGACCCCTGATAAGTAAGGGACTAAGCCAAAGAAAAATGAATGAATGAATATTATTAAATGGTAAGAGCATAATAAGTGCATGTGCTTTCATTAATCAGTGCACCCCCTGTCAATTTATGTCTCACATCGCAGGTGGGTGGTCACACCATGCTGCCCATCCGATGGATGCCCCCAGAGAGCATTATGTACAGAAGATTCACCACAGAGAGTGACGTGTGGAGTTTGGGTGTAGTACTCTGGGAAATCTTCACCTATGGCAAGCAACCCTGGTATCAGCTCTCAAACAATGAGGTAAGATGCTACCCAATCAATCATTTGTCTGAAAATAAAGAACTTTCATCATTTAGTCACAGAAATTAGTTATTCCCAATGTTCGTATGGATGCTGTAAATCCTTGAACATGCTTGAAAATTAATCTAGTGGTTTCAAGGTTTAAAGAATAGCTTGAAACTGCTTGAAAATTTGTTAATTATTCACTAAAAAGTTAATCAGTTAAATGTTGAAATAAAATAAATAGTTTTGCTTTTGCATAAATGAAAACCATAGTTTTAAATAATGACTGTTACTGTTAAATAAATAACTGTTTTAAATAATGGTTTACACTGCATTGTTGATTTCATTGTTGGAAAAAAATCAATCAAGCATAATCCTGTGCTTTTGATTTTGTTATTAAAAAAACTAAAGAAAAACAAGCAACCATGTATAATGAGAATCTGAAATATTTGATGGCATACTTGTGTTCAAAAATGTTTTATTTTTATTTAGTTTTTAAGTTAATTGGTCTTACTCTTTCAGAATTTTTATAGTATATGTATTAAGTCTGATACTTTTACCATAAACCAACTTATCTACCATTTGGTAGAGGTTAATATTTTTAAAATTATGGAATGTGTTGAAATTTTTCCGAAAAAAATTTTTGCGATAAAAATGTGGTGGTAATTCTCAGAAATTTGCAGAAAATTTTGCGATTTAAAAAAAAATAAAATAAAATAATATATATATATATATATATATATATATATATATATATATATATATATATATATATATATATATATATATATATATATATTTAATAAAATAAAATAAAATAAAAAATAATATAGTAGCCTCTTATGTAGGGTGTGCAATCTGGCACAATGACAGTGGCACAAATCATAAAACAATGCTTTTTTATTTTGGTCTCTTGTCAAGACAAGATCTAAACCCGGGGATTAAGCCAAAGAAAGGTTGTATAACTTATTTTTTTACCAACAGTTTTTTTTCTCTCAGATTTCACTCCCCCCTTCGCACGTGACATCATGTACCTCACATGGGACATGTGTTAGGGCTTGCCCTACCATAATACATCTAAAGCACGGATTGCCATAAAACTCGTCAATGGCAGGGAAGCATTTTCTCTCGCAGGGAAAGAGTTCAATGAAAACATATATCGATTTTACTCACACCATAATACCAACTATACACGTAAAGGTAAAAAAAAAATCCCACAATTCATTCACGTCCAGTGGCCATCATCCTTTAATCAATCTCCATCATGAGCTAAGTTTCCATCCAAAAATGCATATGAACTTCATGTGCAAAACTGGATCGCATAAAAGACGTGCAAATAAAGCAGTGTTTCTATCCAATGAATCAAAGTGAACAAAATTGTCCCTTCTTGATTATTTGGCGACAAATATCAACAGTAAAAACTGAATTTGCTGCAGCAGAAGCTGCATCAATCTTTTCTTCATTTAATAAAGGACCTGCGCCTCAGAAGGCAATCCTGACACGCAATAAAAGCGCGGTGGCGTTTGAAAGTGTCAGACGCGGAGCACAGATGCTCTTGATTCTGGAGGTCATTAATAATACAATAACATAACACTATAAGGCATTTTAGAATGACCAAATCAACATTTCAGATGTTTTAAAATGTGCTCAGCCTGCTGGTTTGTCCATTCCCACACATTTTCATCATCACATGATCTCTTATTACAAAAACACATGACCTTTTTTAATGCGCATACTGGACTTTGTGGGGTAAAAGCGTTTCTATCGTAGTCCATGCACATCTTTTGTTATCAAATAAAAAGTTTATCCTACTGTTATGCACATCTATTTTTTATGTGCAATTTTAAAATGTATGTGCATCATTGCATTTCCATTAACTGTTTTTTATGTGCATATGCAAAATGCGCATAAAAATAGGTTGATGGAAACATAGCTACTGTAAGCTGCTTGCTTTTCTGTTTGTTCCATTACTCTGTTTGTTAGATGTTTGCTCCAGCTTTCTTTTGCAGTCTGAAGAGCGGCAAACGCACAAAACGCCCATATCACAGAAAAGGATCTCTAATCACATCTTTGCATTGACTTCACATGTACTGCACAGGCTGCAAAACAACTCCTCCCACTCTCATGAAATGCAAAGATTGTAATGAATGTGAGGGTGCAGGTGACATGTCATTTTTTAAGAGACACTTTAAGAGATACATCACGTGCGCTGCATATGCAACATCTTTAAGTCATGTAAAACAATCAATTGCCAACTGAATTAAATATTATTTTGATTATATGATTTGAAATGGGATGTTTTATGAGATTATTCAAAAATGTTTGCATTTATTTTGCGTTTAAATAAAGAATTTTGCAGGATCGCAACATTTTTTGTTGATTTTGCATTGGATTCAGCGATTACAGAATCACAGAAAACTAGGGCGTCTAATAAGGAGTTAAGGAACACAAGCCAATAATTTTTTCTTAGTGAGGCAGTTAAAGGGATCAGATGTAAGTAAATTATTATCTATACAGTTATTCAGTGTTAGGTTTGGGGTAAACAAGCCATCAATTTTTTTCCTTACAATGCAATACTATACTGTAGATGCTAGCCTATGATATAATGTAGCTTGCACAGTAAATATGTCATTTTCTACACTTGGATAAATGTGAAAGAAGTGTCCTCAAAGTGTTGAAAACAACTGTTGCTAGGCAGATGCATGCACTTTTAGTGGTTCAGATGTCATTCTGGACAATGTTTGTGCTGCCTCCTGCAGGTGATCGAGTGTATCACACAGGGTCGGGTGTTACAGAGACCTCGTACTTGCCCCAAAGAAGTGTATGATCTGATGCTGGGCTGCTGGCAGAGGGAGCCATACATGAGACTCAACATCAAAGAAATCCACAATCTGCTCCAGAGCCTGGCCAAGGCCTCGCCTGTGTACCTGGACATCCTGGGCTAATCCTTTTGCCAGTATGGGCGTGAAATTATTAGTAAGAAAGAGTGTCTTGTGTGTGTGTGTGTGTGTGTGTGTGAGAGAGAGAGAGAGAGAGAGAGAGAGAGAGATAGCGAGCGTGTGTGGTATAGATGGTTGTGGCTGAATTTAAATGTATGTGTGTGTGTTCATAACAATGGCTTCTGCTTCAGCCTTCTCATCACATAGACTAAAGGCCTTAAATTTGTGTGCGATTGAGTTTGGTTTTTACCATGTCTGGACATGTCCATATCTGTCATGCATCATTGTGTTTTATAAATATCACAAATGGTCTACAAGCGGAAACATCTGATTGTTGTAAATATGCATCAGAGACTAAGTAGACCTTTTTGTTTAACAACCTTTTTGACAAAGGTCATTTGGTTTGAGGAAGAATGGTGTTTTTTTTCTGCCACCATTTGTTTGTGGAGAATTTGGACGTAACGAGGACCCAGTTATTAGCACAAAGCTGTCAACAGTCTGGAGACATTCTGGCAGATTTTACGCAGAATGCAATACTATTCATACTGCAAACTATAGAGTAACAATCATGGAACTGCCAGCTTCATCCCTCATTTTTGAACACATCTGATATATGTTTAGACTTATTCTGTGCCAAGTTTTGATGTCTAATGCTGAGGTCAATGTTTTTGGACATCTAAGTGCGCCCAATCTAACTCAGTGCAGATTTTGTAATAGAAGCACAGCGACAAAGACACATCTTATTTCTTTTTTCTTCAGAAGAGGCTTTAGGTTGGACACAGAGTGTTTGGAGTGAGCACAGAGGCCAAGTCACCAGCAGTGACATTGAAGACTTTGTATGGCTCCCTGACCATATGAGTCAAAGGGTCTTTCTAATTGTGATTGAAAGAGCAAAGGATAGATGCTGTTGTGTCAGTCACTGGTAACAGTGTTGTTTTTTTAGGGTGCTTACACACTAAAAAATGTTCTAATGGAGCACTTGACAAATAGAAATACAAATTTGAGGGTGTTGAAAGAGTGGCCATTTGTCTAGGGTATTTCCCTACCTTCAACCCAAGACACAGGGAGAAGTTCCCCAAACCCTACAACCCAACATTGGATATATGATTTTGGAGAATGGACATTTGGATTTCTGAAAGCACAAATGGACCCTCCTCCCTTGGATTATTTTGCATCCCAGTTAATATCACTGTGTCATTGGATCGAGTTGCAGCCATTTTTTTTACAAATCCTCTCCATTTTCAGTCGCATAACGAAGCATCAAAATGGAATAATTCTCATTTTTCTTCAGGGCAACATAAACTAGTGTGTAGGTGCCCTCAATCATCATACTATTGCAAATTGGTGGACTCTGACTTTCTATAGACTTAAGACTTCTTTCTTACCTGTTCTTGGGGAGTTTGAAGCGTAGATGTTGTCCATAACGCAACAGACAGCTGAACAGCTGGATTTTATTTGCTATTGGATTATTCATTATCTGTTTATGTATCAACTGCAAAATAACTGCTAAGTAATATGTGTATGTGATAATCTATGATCGATTTGTTTTCAGTGTATTGTGGGCCGTTTCAAAGCGATGGGCTTGGTGGGCACTGTGAAGTGAATGTTCATGTGAGAATGACTCGAGTTGAGCAGTCCCTGAGGTCATGACAGGAAGAGACCCTATGAAGGGACCTGACTCAACTTGTGTTTTAACCTCGCCAAACAAGTTACAAGAGGAGGACGACTGACAACTGATTACAAATAACTGACTGACTACAAATAACCGACCCATCATCATGACTTTATGCAGTGCATTCAGACAGTATTCAGAGTGCTTCATTTTTTCACATTATTTGGAGCTCTATCACAACTAATGTTTTATTAATCTGCACTCCTAACCTGAAATGACAAAGAGAATCAGGAAATTGACAAAATACCGACTTTTTGCATACTTTTAATTCTGCAACGATTAAGCTTTTGGATTGCACAAGCACTGCACATCTGGATGTGTGGATTTTCGGCCACTTTTCTCTGTAGATCCAATCATGTAAGATTGAGAGGGAACCATTGGTGGACAGTTATTTAGTTCCTTCACATTTTGCCTAATCTGGACCCTGGCTTGGTCACTCAATCAGTCATCTCTTAACCGCTTTAACATTCTCCTGGCTGGAGGTGCAGGCCCTGTCTACATGTACTGGGGTATATTTGTAAAGGGTTTTTCAAAAAAAAAAAAAGCTTTTCCACACATGCACAATTTAAAAAAGTCCATATGAAAATGCAAAATCGCCCTGAGAAGCACTGTCAAAAGCATGCCAAAGCAGCAGATAGCGATATACTTGTGATCCTGAAGTCATGCTGGCTACACAGACCCCAGCGTTTTTAAAAACCTGATCGGAGTTTTCAAAAACTTTGGTTTGAGTTAACCGATACTGCCTTGTATGGGGATGATTGGCCAAAATGCTGCTGTTTTGAAAATACCTGTGTTTTTGCAAACAGGGCTTAGGGGCCATTCACACAACAATGTTTTCAGCCAAAACTGTGAAACAAATGGCCAGTTCTTTTACATGTCGATGCCATTTTGGGGACCAAAATTATTTTTTTAAAAACACAACTATTGCTGTGTCCTTGTAAACACTCGAAAACCTTTGTTGTTGTTGTCACATTTTTGTTAACACTTAATTGGCAAAGTCTGGATTTACTTCCCCATAGCTAAATTTCTCTGGCCCAGACTTGGCCCACACTATCAGCATTTGCTTGGCCCACATTCTGCAGTGAATTAAGGTACATGACTGGGCCAGGTCTGGCTTCTATTAAAGACGCAAACCCCTCACTGCACAACAGCTGCACCTTCAGCAAACCTCCTAATTCCTGCAGCACGAGGACTTTATGAGTGTCAAAAGTGGCTGATCTGCAAAATATTTGACTGCTTCTCACCGCATCCCAAACGACTAAAACAATATAACTAAAGAAATCTCCACTGTGCTGAGCAAGAGCGTTTCTTACTGAAAAGTGCTTCATCTATGACTTGTGTGCCCAGGCCCTAATGTAATGTGAGTGTGGGCCGTTGGTGGAGATAGGAGGGGGGAACAAGCGTGCTTCGGCCGGGTCAAGGCAACTGTACATAGTGTGAGTACGCCCGTATACTCAAACACAACTCAAAAAGTACTTTTACTCACTTTCCTTTAACTTATTCCCTGCTTTATCAGTGGAACGAACCAGCAATTTTTCTGGCAATTGTTTAATACAGTAGATGCGGTGGGGGAAACCGAAACACCCAGAGGAAACCCACGAAAACATGCAAACTCTAAACACTAAAAACGTCTCGGGTTACGTATGTAACCATAGTTCCCCGAGAGGGAACGAGACACTGCGTCTAACCAGAACGCTAGGGGAACACCTCTTTTATACGCGTCTTGAAGCACATGTGAAATCAATCTAATGTAATTAAGCAGGTGTCGTCAGACCAGAGAGTATAGAAGTCTGTACTGAGCATTCAGTATCAACTTCGAATTTGCTTGAAAGAAGTAACAGGCAGAAGAGTGTATGGCGGAATACGCAGTGTCTCGTTCCCTCTCGGGGAACTATGGTTACATACGTAACCCGAGACGTTCCTCATCTAGGGAATTTCAACACTGCGTCTAACCAGAATGCTAGGGGAACGCAATACCCACTAGGCCAGACTCACTGCTGACTGTGAACGCACACTACGCAGTGAGAATAGAGGACCCTGGTGAGGGGTCTACATCGAGTTGATAGTGACGCACAAATGTATATGGAGTCGACCATCCTGCCGCCAAACAAATGTCAGAAAGGGCTGAGCCCGTAATAGAAGCTTTGGAGGCCCCTACAGCCCTTGTGGAGTGGGCCTTGACAAATTTAGGTGCAGGGCGTCCAGCAGCCTGATAGGTAATTGAGATAGTCTCAACTATCCAATTACTTATTGTCTGCTTATTCGCCGGACTCCCCCTTTTTGAGGGTCCGAAGCAGACCAGTAACTGTTCACTCTTTCTCCAGTTGATAACCCGGTTAACATATGTATTTAGAGCTCTAACTGGGCAGAGTAAGTTTAACTTCTCTTTGTCCGACGACTGAAATGGGGGCGGGTGAAAGGCCTTTAGCACAGCAGGTCTCGCCACATGAGTGGGCACCTTAGGCACGTACCCCGGTCTGGGATAAAGAAAGGCTTTGGACATGCCTGGAGCAAACTCCAGAAATGAAGGTGCAACCGACAAAGCCTGGAGGTCACCAACCCTTTTTAAGGAAGAAATAGCTAATAAGAAAGCTGTTTTAGTGTCAGAAACTTATCTGACGCCTCCTGCAGTGGCTCAAATGGGGGAACAGAGATGCCCTCGAGCACCAATGTTAAATCCCATGTCGGTACCCTGTGTGTGCTGACAGGCCTTAGCCTTATGGCTCCACGAAGGAAGCAACGAATTAGCGGATCCTGTCCTAGTGATTCATCATCTAGGGGAGAACGGTAGGCCGCTATAGCTGACACGTACACTCTCAGAGTGGATGTAGCTAACCCAGCAGACAGGCGATCTTGGAGAAATTCCAGCACTGAGGCTACCTGACAGCTGACTGGGTTCAGCTGGTGTTCTCTGCACCAAGCTGAAAAGAGAGCCCAGTTTAGGGCATAAAGCTTCCTTGTGGAGGGAGCCCTGGAGCTTAGAATGGTCTGAGCAACCTCGGTTGACAGTCCATACTCTATGAGGTGGGCCCCCTCAGAGGCCACACCCACAGTTTCCACAGGTCGGGTAGGGGATAAAGTATCATTCCTCCAGCCTGGGACAAAAGGTCTCCAGAGGGGCTGGATGCCAGAGAGAAAACCATACTACGCAATGCATGGTCTCTTGGGAAGCAAACAGGTCTACCTGCGCTTTCCCTAATTTTTTCCCAAATGGTCTCCACCACCTCGGGGTGAAGAAGTTTCCATTCCCCGGATCTCACCCTCTGCCTCAACAGGAGAACTGCTCCCATGTTCAGATGGCCCGGGACATACATTGCCCTGATGGACAGGATTT